TTGAGCTCCGGGGCATGGACTCAGCGCAGCCCTCACGCACATGGCTTGGCCCGATGGTGTCCGGCTTTGGGTCTGGAGCCGGGCCACCCCCAGGCCACCCCCTCGTGTCTTCAGCACAGACTGGGACAGGCAGGAGGTCAGAGTGTGGTGGCCTCGGATTGATCAGAAGCCTTGATGCTGGTCTAAGAAGCTTTCCTCAAGGACAGTCTACAAAACCGGAGTCCTCATTTCTGCGAAGAAAGCAGAGTAATTCAGTTCACATTCCCCGAAGAGTTCTCTATCCTGTGTGTTTTCAGTGCTTGGGTAGTGTCTGTGGTTGGTCTTCAAGGTCGTTTTTCCAGGCTGGAGGTCAGCAGTGGCTGTAGAGTGAAATGCCTGGGAAGGGGTGAACGTGGACGCCAGGGCCGTGCAGGTCGCCGTCCCTTGGGAAGAAAGTCAGCAGGGGCAGTGCAGGCTGCTTAGAGCAGAGTGCGTTTGTGCCGGCAGCAGCCTCGGGTCCGTGCCGTCTGCCCGCTGCTGCGAGCAGGCTCAGGCCCAGCGTGGATTTCCCAAACGAGAACAGACAGCCTTCCGTGGCAGCCGCAGTGAGCGGTGGGAGGCGCCCAGGAGCAGCTGGGGGTAGATGAGGAACCACCTGCCACCCATGGCTTCAGCCCAGTTGGGCCAGCGTCCTCTCTGCAGTTCGGAGCTCTGTCACCCACCTTATTGGGGGACAGCCGAGATAGAGGTCTCCCCTTGATTCCACTCTGTGCCACCTTAACCACAGGAGGGCACCGGACCTGGGGTGTCCCGGGGACACCGGACCTGGGGTGTCAAGGCTTGCTATGGTTTCTCAGTGGTTATCTTGGTCCCGCAGCCATAACATGGGAAATATTAATGACCTAATACTAATTTTCGAAGCCAGCCTGCAGAATTACAGTTGCAGCATGGCCTCAGTGAAATGAATCATGTCTACTGAAGGGAAATTGCAGCATCTTGTTAGCTGTGTGGGTGACAGGAACATAGGCCATTTTGTTCTTTTGTGTTTTCTCAGTCTTATGTTAGCACATATTAATTTTATAATGAGGTGTTTTTCTACTGAATAAAGCTGCACGAGCCTGCAGGGAAAAGGGAGGTAAAGGTAAGCCGGTGGTGCAGCTGGTGACCGGAAGGCAGGCCAGAGGCGGGTCTGGCTCCGGTAAGCAGGGCAGTGCGTGGTCCTCGGCGGCCGTAAGCCAGTCATGGCCCAGAGGAGGCAGGCTTTCCCTAACATGGAAGACTCCCCAGAGGATGGTTATAGACTCTGCGCATCCGACCAGTGAGCCCGAGATTAGGTCGTGGTCATGAATCCGGCCACGGGCCCAGCTTCAGCATAAAGTCACCCGTGATCCTTACCAGGTGGTCCAGGGCACCGGTTTTGCTGTAAGGTAGTAAATGTTTGCTTCGGTGTAATTGTATCAATGAAGAGTGACGTGTACCTCGATTTACACAAACCTGCCGTGCTCCCAGGGCGTAGAAATACTGACATTTCCAGCCCTGCTTGCGTAAGTGGATCCAGTCCACAAATAATGGTGCCGGAGTAGCTTGCGGTATGAGTTGCTGATACAGACACACGGGCTGTGGTTTTGGAGTTCAGCTCCGTCCCTCCCACAATCCAGGTGAGCCTGGCAGAGGGTACCGTGTCAGAGAGGTGCTAGTTTAGAGAGACCCGCCCCACCCCAGCAGAAGCAGCCCGGGGGAAGACACGTGTTTGTGCCTTCTGGAAAAGTGGGGTGGATGTGGTTGGCTCTCTACTGACGAGGGCTAGTAAGGCAGAGGTGAGCGCTTTGTTTCCAGGAAGGGTTAATATCTTTTAGTTAAGAATGGAGCCAAGGACAGCCATTGTCAGCCCCTGCCAGCCAGCTTCTCGGGGAAGTGCTCGAGGAGGCTGGCCATCAGCATGCCGACGGCGTCTGGCCGCTGCCAGGCCTCACCTGACCCAGACAGCACCGGTGCACCATTTCGCTCCAGCAGAGAGCAAATTGATTGTGGCTAATCAGATAAGGTGGGAGTGATTGGCAAGTGGAGACAGGTGACTCAGAGATTGGAGACGGCCCCTGCTTCCTGGCTCAGGGCGGCGTCCCTGCCCTTTGCTGCTGGTGCTCGGGCTCCCAGGGCTGTGCGTGCTCAGAGGGCACAAGCAGGAGATGGCTGGAGCGTCCCCGTTGTTGGGGATCAGGGCGGGAGAGGCTTAGGCTCCTGGCCCTGTGCATGTTCAGAGTGTACGCTCACAGGAGCCCACAAGTGTCCCTGGCATTGGGGTTTTGCAAGATTTGTCTTAACTCATGGTGGAAATTCACACCTTTAGAAACTTCAGATTGCATCATTGCATATCTTAGGACACGGACTTGGGAATGTGAGCCGTTCCCTCAGCAGCTGCAACGTAGCATGAAATCTGATGCAGCAGAAGTGAGCCACAAGTCCACAGGAGTTAGCAAACGATCCAGCCCCGACTCATGCATGATAACCCAGCAGAAAGCGGGCCTCGGCGGAATGGGGAGGCCTGGAATTCTGCATTCCTAGCTGGTGTATCTTGGCATTGTGTAGTCTCTCCTGTGATCTGCATGGGAAGAAGAGAACATTCTTTCAAGGTGTGAAGCCCCGAAGGACACTGTCTGTCCTTAGTCAGTGGTTGGGAGGGGCTGGAGTCAGGCAGACGGGAATGCTTTCCAGGGGCAACTCTGGCTCTTCCTGGCAGAGTGACTGGCGTTCGTAAGCCCCGAGCTCCTCACCTGTAGATGCGGGGTGTCACCAGTTGCCTCGGGGCTGTGTGCAGGTTAGATCGGGGTTTGAACAAGCGACTTGGCGTGGTGCCTGGTCCATGCGAGTGTTTAATATTCCTTGAGTGGCTTGAAGCGGCTCCAAGAAACCTCTTTTCACTTTGGAAGGCCTCTTTTCTAAAAGATCCCCTAGGAGATGGTGGTGAGGATGGGTAGGTCCCAGGACTTTCTAGGGAAATCTGAGCCCCCCAGGGCAGACGTGCTCTCACTTTAGTCTGGACTCAGGTAGGTTGTTAGTCTTTGGGTCCTTGAATTAGGGCCAGCCACCAGTTGTGTGTACACAGGATGCTTCATGCATAAAACCCATTCCCCAAAACTACCCCATGCCACCTGCAGCCCGTGACAGCCCACCAAAGGGAGAGGTACGAGGCTCCTTCCCCAGAGCTTTCCCACAAACTGTGGTCCCCAGGCCATCATCGGTCCCCAGCGTGTCACCTGAAGCTCACCAAAGTGCAGGGTTTGGGGTCACACCATAAGCATAAAAATCAGAACCTGAAGTTTAAAATACCAGATGCCAAGGTCATGTGTATGCTCCAGGGTCCATGAACTTAGAGGATTTCTGGAGGAGTGTAAATGGGGTGCACCTTGTGGACCAGGCCGGTGCATCCTGCCTTGCTCGTTGTGGGGAGCAGACCCAGGAGTGCTTGCCAGCGTCCGACCTGGACATGGGCCTTGGTCATTTTGTCAGGGACAGAAGGGATGGGGAACGGAAATGGGACCTTACCACAGTTGCAGACTAGACAGTTCGGGCTTTGGTTGCCCGTGTTTTGCATCACTTTCCTTTACAGAACTAACGTTCTGGAGGTGAGCACACTGTGACTGTATGAAGTCTGCATATCGGCATCAGAGGGGTTGGGGGCTCCCACTTTCTTTCCTGTGACATTTCTCCTCTTCTGCTGCCGCCCCAGAGTAGCCTGCCCCTTCCCCTGCTGGCTCTCCCCCCACCTCCCTCCCGAGTCACTGCTCCAGCCCCGAGACTCCTGGCGTCCTGTGATTCAGCCCAGGCTGCAGATACAGTAGCCCCAGAGGTGGGTCCTCGGCAGCCCACAGAGATGCCATGGTGCGAGGCCAACCCGTGACCTTGCCCTAACAGTGTCTATGGCCTGCCTCTGCTTAGACACCCACTCCTCCCCCTGCGTCCCACCCAGTGACCAGGAGGTGCCGTGCCACCTGCGCTTCTTCTTCAGCAGTTCTTGCCCCTTCTCCTTTCCCGTCCACCCTCCATTCCAGCCAAGGTTAGTTAAATCAGTAGCACCGTCAAGACTTCCTTTCCTGGCCCCAGTTTGTTTTCATGATCCTTTATCAGAAGACAGATTAGCTGAAAAATGTCATTTGACCCAGTTTAGACCCCACTAGATAACCTCTGCGGTTCCGGCTTTGACCCCGGCATGTCAGGAGTCAGTGAGAGACTCCTGCAGGTGCAGAGAGGCCCAGCTCACCCTCCTTGCTGTGTCCATGGGGACCAGGCGTGTGAACACCCAAAGCCAGTTCTTCATCGGGGTGGGTCATTGAGGGAGATGTTAACTGGCAAGACAATCTGACGAACAAAAGAATTTTTCCCAAAAGCACATGCCCATGCCCTGAAGGCAGTAATGACAGAGCTGTGATATAATCTTTCTTCAATTAACACTTTTTCTCCCCAGCAAAGTCTTTACTCTCCATGCTTTGCTATCCTCATCCTGCCACTCAAAAAACACATTCTCTACCCAGATTCCAGTGGTAACAGCCTTTTTTCTTTTCAAGAAAAGCCAAACCACAAAAGAAGCAACCCAAAGTTATGATCCAAACCGTGGAAACCATATAAAGTGACAGTTGCTCAGAAAGTATTTAAAAAGGCCACGCCCGTCCTGGTGCCCTGGAGGAATGAGACTGATCTTTTCACAGAAGTGAATAGTCATCCTCGTGTGTAACATACTTGATGCTTTTCTTAAAAAGAGAAAACAGCTACCCTATGTCTCATGTCTCAGAGGGCTTTATGAGCATCATAAACCCAATCTCCACCATCGGCTAGGGAGCGGCTTCCCCTCTGCTATGCCTCCCTGTGTGGTGAATGGCGATATTTAAAATGTGTCCATGTGAAACATTCCTTGACAAATTGGTTTTCAGACAGAGAAATCTGCTCCTCTTAGGATATATTATGACAAAGTCTAGAAGCAAATTCATTTTTTATGATTTTGTTGTTCTTATTTGGAATTACCGCAGATCCTAACAAATTTGGAGCAAGGCTTAGCTGAAGACGGAAGCATGAGCAGCATCACACAGGAGAACAGACAAGGTCAGTGGCCAGACTTTTCATTAAATAATTATCGAGAGTTGTCAGAAGATTCGGCCCCCAAAGCTTTTCTTGTGTCTCATCCTTTGCATTGGTCCTTGCATGCATTCATTTGCTCGTTCCTGTTTTGGGAAGCCAAGCACAGGCCTGGCACTGTTGATACATGAGCAAATGTAGGTGTGAGGGCTGCCCAGAGGCAGCCCCGTTGGGTGCAGAGGACCTGCCTACACCCAGTAATCCAGAAACCAGTGTGGCTTCCACACTAGGCAGGTGCTGGGACAGAGAGGAGCCCAGGCCTTCCTGGGAGGGGCGTCCTTCGGGGAGGGGGGGTTGCCCACCAGAACTACAGACTTGGCAGGGGGAGCGTGAGGCCCTACAGTCCTGCAGAGGAGAGGAAGAGGGCCCTGTACACAGCCGACGAGGCCAGGCTGACAAATTAAGGCTTGACGCTGAGCACTGGGCTGCTGGGAGCTGATTACATTTTGAGATCATGCTGGCCATGGGGCGCCTGGGTGGCTCAGTCGTTAAGCGTCTGCCTTCGGCTCAGGTCATGATCCCAGGGTCCCGGGATCGAGTCCCACATCGGGCTCCCTGCTCGGCAGGAAGCCTGCTTCTCGCTCTCCCACTCCCCCTGCTTGTGTTCCCTCTCTAGCTGTTTCTCTCTCTGTCAAATAAATAAATAAAATCTTAAAAAAAAACAAAAAAAGAGATCATGCTGGCCACAACTTCTTGAGAACATTAGGGATGAACTTCTAATTATGCTTCAAAACCCAACTCAAATGGCACCTCCCTGAGAAGCCCCTCACCTACCACTCCTTCCTCAGGGCCTGTCCTTCCCTTTCCCCAGAGCGTCGGTCCCACTTTGTCTCACCTCCAGGGGCAGTTTCCACCTCTCTGTGCCTCACTTGGAGCGGACTCTGCAGACCACTGGCCAGCATGCATTACTCTGGCAAGCGGTGGGCCTCCTCTGAAGCTGCTCGGGGAAGAACGATGGGCCGAAAGCAGGCGAAAGTGTTCCCCTGGGGAGGGGAATACTGCAGGTGGAGAGCCGTGCTGGTGCCCCCGGGGGTGTGGTGGGCCTGGCCGCACTCAGGAGCGTGAGAAGGGAGAACAGCGTGGGCAGGAGATGTTTGCCTTTGGGGCCAACAGCCCTGGGCTACATCTATGCTTTAAATATAGCGTCCTTTGAGAAATCCCAAAGGACAGCCAGGTGTGTAGGGGAGAGTGTGTGTGTGTACGCACACATCCTTCCCAGCCGTGTGTGTATGTGCACGCGCACATCCTTCCCAGCAGTGTGTACATGTGTATGTGCACGCACACGTCCTCAGCAGTGTGTGTGGACGTGTGTGTGTGGACATGCACGCGCATGTCCCTCCCAGCAGTGCAGCTGCAGGCCGGTTAGCAAGGAGAGAGGTTGCTCACCCTCCAACATCTCGTTCTCTGGTATTGTCTGCACGTGGTCACTTTTCCCCACTGAGGGCCTGTTTTAGGGGAATTAACAGGTAGTTACTAGATCTCAGAAAGCAGTTCGGAGAGACCTCAGGGTCATAACAGATAAACAGATTTTCAAGTGAATGGGGAAGAATTTTAGCACTTGAAAGAAGTCTGTGGAGATAAATTGCGGTTCACTGAGACAGCCCATATTTTATGTTCATTAACAAAAGATACTGTTCAGAATTTTTCTTTTCACAAAGATGATGTTGTAAGCAGCTAATGTATTTTTTTTTCAAAGATTTATTTATTTATTTGAGAGAGCGAGAATGAGAGAGAGAGAGAGTACATGAGTGGGGGAGGGTCAGAGGGAGAAGCAGGCTCCTCGCCGAGCAGGGAGCCTGATGCGGGACTCGATCCCGGGACTCCGGGATCATGACCTGAGCGGAAGGCAGTCGCCCAACCAACTGAGCCACCCA